CATGTGCACCAAGACAAATTCCTTGTGTGTCTAATCACACTTGGCCAGTAAAGTATTCTATTGTATTCTATTCTATTATTTTCCTTGTGCTACTTTTCAGCAGAAGATGTTTTATTGTTTTACCAGTCACTTGAGATAAGAAGAATTTTACTCCTAGCTCTCAAACAATCCAAAGGGCTGTTTGGATCAATAGAAGAGTCAAAACTCTTCTATTTTCAAAGAAGATTTATACCCATTGTGCTATTACAGAACTCTCGATAAAGTTATCTCCAAAATATATTAGAGAGTATTGGGCAATAAGAAAGGGGGTGGGGGCAACCCTGAAGTTGTGCCCGCTTGTGTGCAAATTCTGAAACTTTAATTCTATATGTATAAATTCAGTTTAACTTTTTTGTGTGGGTGACAGATGCACCACACATACAAATACATATATGGCACACATATAAAAGGACAGGCGATCCACGACTTACAACAGTTCATTTAGAGACCATTTGAAGTTACAACGGCACTGAAAAATAATGACTTAGGATTGTTTTTCATGCTTACAAGCACTGCAGCTTTCCAACTGCAGCTTCCCCATGGTCAAAATTCAGCTGTTTGGTAACTCACTCACGTTTATGATGGTTGGGTCATGTGATCACCTTTTGCGAAATTCCGATAAGCAAAGTCAGTGGGGAATCCAGATTCATTCAACAACCCGTGTTACTAATTTAACAACAGTGTTAAGAAAAGTTGAACAAATGTCTCACTTAGCAACAGAAATTTTGGGCTCAATTGTAGTTGTAAGTCAAGGGCTACTTGTACAAATGTCCAAGAGGATCTACCCATAGAAAGGAAGGCCATTGGCACTTGCTAGCTTGGACAGAAATGGGTGGATGGAACAACAATAGGGAATTTTCAATGGGAGAATGTAGTGTATTGTTTGAACTGAATACCCTGCAATCTTTTGCTGGATGTTTCAGTTTGGATACAATTTTCTTAGACTGGTATATTAAACTGGCATAAGCCCAGGACAGTGGCTGCTTAAATATTAAGTGTGGATATGCCCCGAATGTGCATTTGATTGCATCCTGAAGCACTAGCCTGAAACAATGATTATTCCTGTAGAGTTTTGCGATTTTTAAAAAAAAGCATCATTCAGGAATTTCACATATTACTGCAGATAAAAAGCTCCTTCCCTCTCCCTCCTTTGACCCTCCTATAATAAATGGTTGTATTCAAATTGGCAGAATGATTATTTCCTGGCATTTTTAGTACTTAGAGTACAGTGTTAATGTGTGTGAATGTTGAATTTAATTTCCTTCATTTCAAAAATCTGTGTGCCTAAATGCATACCATAGTTTTACTACTAGTCTTTAAAGGGCCCAGGTCATCTTTGATATTCTTTTTTAAAAAGTGAGATCTTGGCCTAAAATAATGTCTTGGTTATTATTTATGTATTTGCTTCATATATTTTTAAATTACACAACTTTTCTCTCTGAAGCAGTGTCTTGTTCCTATCAGATGTATTTCAATCTTACCTATGTACTTTTAAGTAGGGGACATATTTAAAAAAAAATTCTTTTAATCTGTCAAAAAGTGAACTTTTATACTTTGTAAAATAAAACAGTGATAGAGGCAAATTGAAACAGACACAGGTCTCCTGAATCAGTTTTGTTCAATACCTCCAGTATTATATTTGCTTAGAATAATAAAATAACAGAGTTAGAGGTTTTCTAATCCAACCCCCTTCTCAAGCTGGAAACCCTATTATACCATTTCAGACAAATGGTTGTCCAATTTCTTCTTCAAAACTTCCAGTGTTGGAGCATTCACAATTTCTGGAGGCAAGTTGTTCCACTGAAATTTAACGGTTAGGAAATTTCTCCTTATTTCTAGGTTGGTTCTCCCCTTGATTAGTTTCCATCCATTGCTTCTTGTCCTGCCTTCAGGAGCTTTGGAGAATAGGTTGAACTTCTCTTCTTGGTGGCAGCCCTTTAAATATTGAACACTGCTATCACATCACTCCCTAGTTCTTCTCTTCATTAAACTAGACATATCCAATTCCTGCAACCATTCTTCATATAGTCCCCTAATCATCTTTGTTGCTCTTCTCTCCACTCTTTCTCAAGTCTCAGCACTTTCTAGAGCAGAAGTGTCAAACATGCGTCGTCACAGTGTCATCATGTGACTATTGTGACTTTTTTCCCCTTCGCTAAACCGGGCGTGGGTATGGCAAGCATGTGATGCATCTGGCCTGTGGGCTGCAAGTTGGACCACCCCTGTTCTAGAGTCTTCAAGAGCTTAGGAACGTATTGACCAAATGAAATCCTGATGGTTAAGTTGTATATGATTAGATAAGTCTTCAGAAAAGAAACACGAGGGATTTAGATAGAATAAGATGGAGGTTAGAGAGATCATTGCTCTATATTTAGGTATCCTTCAGCACCTACTTCAACCTTAGTTTTAAGCAGTATGACATGCTACAACATGAAGATATAACTGACTTTTTAAAAATCCTTTAGGTATTTGGTAAACTAACAAGCAAAAATGTGCAACATATACATATTGTCCTATATTTAAAATCCAAATGTGGATGTTGGGTCTCCACAATAAATTGTTTTTATTTCCATGGCTACATGACTTAATGCATCCTACATCCTGGAGTAGCTCAGAGATTATTTTGCTCTTTATGACAACTCCTTGCAGGACATTTTTATAAAAGCAAACATCAGGCCATTTTATGTTAAAGTTTGTCCTCGTATTATTACACAAAAATTAGAGAAATGGGAAGTTGAACTATTCTTCAATATATACTTAAAGAATAAAAAATGCTTGTCATGTTTACGTTTGATGGCAAAGATGTTAACATTAAGATTCTTCAGCCTCAGTGTTTCTATTGGGTTTCTATAAAATTTCCTCTGAAAAATTGGGAATCCTCCAGAATTAATATTTGATGTAATAGTTGCAGCCACGAAACATATCAAGCCTATTCAAAAATGCATGGAAGGGTTTTGAGGGCTTTTCCTGACATTGGTTTCTTCCATTTCTGAGTTCTATTCTGCCAGAAGATTAAATACCAACTGGAGCAGTCCATAAGATTAACAATTTTAAAGACAGCAATAGATTCTCCTGTTTTTGCTTCTCTGCTCCCTCCCCAAAAATCATCTGACAATGGGAAGTTAGTTTTTAGAGATTTCTAGACTGGCAGTTCAGACATCTGTCAAAATCTATGTCTCCAACTTCAGAACAAGGTTCCGAAAGCTTGGTCCCAGGCCAGGAGAGGACAGAAGAAATTGGGGAGATTTATTTTTATGTGCCAAGTTCTGGATTCCATGAACCAGCTAAGCCAGGGGTCCCCAAACTTGTCAACTTTAAGACTTGTGGACTTCAACTCCTATAATTCTCCAGACAGCATAGCTGGCTGGAGAATTCTGGGAGTTGAAGTCCACAAGTCTTAAAGTTGACAAGTTTGGAGACCTCTAATCTGAGCAATCAGCTGCCAGGTCTGGGAAGAGAGACAACGAAAGATGGGTAGTCTGGTCAAAATTACCAGATCTCCAGTTCAGGAGACTTGAAAGGCAACCCAACCAATCTACATTTTCCATGTAGTATTTTCCATTCTAATCTTCTACAGGAATAGAAACCCAGTAAATAATGAAGAGGTTTTCTGTGGTTTACCTGCTTCTTCTCTCAGCTGACGGTTACTACAGCTCTCTTAGAGCCTGACAGTTATTTGAGAGGTATATTTAAGCATAGGTTACCATTCTTCTGAAAGGATGTGAACCCCACTTTCAGGCTCCTTTTGAACACAGATGTTGTTGTTTTCAGAATAATATGAAACCCACATTTACAAATAGCCTAAACAACAAATGACAGATGAGGGAACAAGCTGAAAGCTCTCTCTCATTTTAGGGCATATACACTTGTATGCCTGTCAGGCATTAAGCCAGGCTAGTTAAAACATGTATTTCATGCTCTTTTGACAGAGCAGTAAACCTGTGTTTAAAAGTAGGCTAACAAGTAACAGACAAGGAGAGAGTGGTTGCACAATGCGGCAAGAGTCTTTCCCCACTGTACTGTACTGCATTTCTTCACACCTGGTAAGTAATTCTTAAACATGGGTTTAGCACTTTTCTAAAAGAATGGTAAACCCACTTGCTCAAAAGCATCCCCAACACCCACTCACAGGCATGGGTCAAAGGGTGATTCTCCTGTAAAACTGTTGAACCGATTCTCTTTCAAGCTTCACCAAACAGCTGGTTAGAAGATCCAGGTCTCCAAACTGGGGATTGGCTTATAGATCTAGTATTACAGGAGGGAAACCAAGTTTGAAAGATCCAGATACCTTACGTTGCCAGAAGATTGGGTAGCAGAACAGCTGTGCAGGATACAGCCCATATACAGGAGTGGAACACTATGTCCACAGCAGCCTAAAATGGCTAATAGTTGCTACACATAGTTGCTCTCCCATTGATATGTGGTTGGTGAAGTAGATTTGATTGTACCTATCTCCTTAATTCTGGAACAGGACAAGGATAAGTTATGATTGCCTCAGGTATGGGTTGGGAAAGATATGGATACAACTGTATGTGGTCATGCCAGAAAAAAAGAGTTTTCTGGGTATGTTAATACTGTGGTTAGGTCGAAATAGAGAAATGGCCTGATAGTGTGTAGCTTTTATGTTACATGAATGTTATTAATTATGCGTACCTTTGTAATTGATTAAATGTAATATAATACATGTACATTGAGACCTGGTACATTGTGTCAAAGGATGAACCATAACTTTGGAAATCTACAGATCTATTCTTGCCTCAAAGTCGGTTGTTTTGATGCCATTAATCTTTTCAGACACTCCTAAATTTGCAATGCTTGGCCTTCCTCAAAAATAATTTAAATAGTTATACATTTTGAGATAATGTATATAAAGGATTTCAATTGTTCGAATTATAGAGTTACTTCTTCTTCTTCAAGTAACGTTTTTATATATGTTGGTTTCACTTTTTGTTTTGTTTTAGGCAATACGCTGCACATTGGTAAATTGCACATGTGAATGTTTCCAACCAGGGAAGATAAACCTGAGAACCTGTGATCAATGTAAACATGGCTGGGTGGCACATGGTAAGGAACTACATGCTGTTTGTTTCTGTTGTTGTGTGTTTGTGTGCATGTCTGCAACTCTAAGCATATGTGTACATTGCATCTGATCTAGAAAGACCTGCATGAAACAAAACTGTTTATAGTTTGTTTGTTCATATATATATATTCTGTTGAAAATAATAAAACTATTATTCTAATAAATGAAGCATTTTGACGGAAGATGCAAAGTCATAAATATTCTAAATACAGATAGTCCTTGACTTACAACCACAATTGAGACTGGAATTTCCATTGTAAGTTGTTGTGGTTGTAAGTTAAGTTGGACCTGATTTTTGTGGCAATTGTTAAATTAATCACATGGTTGTTAAGCAAATCCAGCTTATGGCTGGAAATCAGAAAAAAATGTTGTAAATCACCATCAAATGGTCAAAGAGTGCTGCAACTGGTTGTACATGTGAGCCAGTTGCTAAGTGCCTGAATTACGATCACATGATTGCAGTGCTGATATAATGGTCATACATGTGAGTACTGGTCATAAGTTACTTTTTCCAATAGTCATTAAACAAATAGTTGTAAGGGCAAGGACTACTAGTAAAACACACTATGCTATGTATACATCTGAAAGAATGAATCCTAACTTCTAAGAAATAGTAGAGAGATTATACTCTTAACATCTCAGCTGAGATATGTTAAATTATCTGGTTCTCATAGCAGTCCTTTCCAACGTGATTTTTGTCAGCACTGATGCAGCATAACAGTAGAAAACTAGAAGATTATTAAAAATATTATGGCAGTTTGTAGTAAAGGAACATGCAGAACATGGATTGAGAATCATACTCCCAGTTATCTTAAAAGGAGTTGCCCACTGAATACTGTTAAAGAAATCTGTCTTCAATCTCTAGGTTTTTAATTTCTTTTTGCACTTGCTAACATTTCCTTTCCAGACAAAGTGCTTGAGGTTGGCCTGTAATTTGGAGTACACTTTATGGAAAGATTTTATAGATCCGTTTCAGCATAACTTCAGGTCTAGCAGTGAGACCATAATTGTTCTGGCTCTCATATTGGATGACTTAGAACCAAGACATTGCTTAGCATAAAGAGTGTAGAGAATAATATTAGGTTTTTCACCCTATTCATAATGTAAGAACATGTTGTAAATAATGTTAATATAAAGTGCACATGAAACAGATCTTAAGCCAACAAATATTTTAAAAATTAACTGCATTTCAGTTGTAGTCATCATTAACATCTTTCACTGATTTTGTTTCTGACTTTCGTACTTGCTCTTTAGCTCCATGAATTACTCATAAATTGCATGCATTAGATGTGATCAGACATCATTTTAATAGTTAATGGTTAGTTAATAGTTTAGCATGTAGAGAACGAGCTGCAGCAAGCATCAGAGTTGGGTACTGCCCTTCCTTTTTATCCTTAGGTGTGGCTGAGAATATACTTGAGAATTTCAGGGTCAAGCACAGCCAAACTCTGAATAATATTTATAGACTTGTATAAAGAAGAAACTTTATTACTCATGGCTTGAAGTCGGTGAAGAGAAATGCATGTTTTGTTGGGTCTAAACACTGTGGCAAAACTATGGATTGGAATGGCAACTTAATGAGAGTAAGTAATTAATTAAAAGTCTACCAAGTGTATGGTGGCCGCATTGTTTCTTTGGGAAAACTTGCCAGGTGCAAAGAATCAGGACCACACATAGCAGTTAAGAAGCTTTATTGCTCACACTTACACAGAACAATGTACTCAACTAATGGTCAGCACCAAATTGGCACCAGATGAGAGTTAATGCAATTCAAAGCGGGCTGGACTTGGATCACTTGTGGCAACAGATTGACTCTCTCTACTGTCTCAGATTCCTCTCTTGACTCCACCCACAAGCTCTGCCTTTTCTTCTCCTACAACTATTATTAAATAGCTTGTACTTTTCTACCCAATAACAATCTCTGTATTCTTTAAAATGCTGCTTTAAAATAAAATAGGTACATATTTTTATGTAGCTAGCAGCATCTATAGGAACTTGGTGTATTAGTGTGTGTTTCAAAGTCTGGATAATCAAGTGGAGGTGATATATTCTCCAATGACAGAGTGAAAACCTTGATAGCTTTTCAGCTTTCATAAGAAATGGATAGTATCCATGTAGTCTACAATGTGAAGCGCACAAGCTGAAGGATGTTTTGTTTGAATCTTATTAACTCATGTTTGTCCCCTCAAACATTTCATTGCAAGCCATTTGTCCCCTTGAAATCGAATGCTTATGGAAATGGTTTACATCCTGTGATTCATTTTTTGGAGGTTCATGTAGTCACTTCACCAACTTTCCATTCTGCTTTTAAAAAGTTAATCAAGCCTCTGAGGCAAGTGATCAAATGAGGAAAGAGTGCAAAATTCACGTAACTTTCAAATAAGAAGCAGAATTTGTCAGTGGGCTGTGGATGTCCTGTAAGTCAGGGGTCTCCAACGTTGTCAACTTTAAGACTTGTGGACTTCAACTCCCAGAATTCCTCAGCTAGCTTTGCTGGCTGAGGAATTCTGGGAGTTGAAGTCCGCAAGTCTTAAAGTTGACACAGTTGGAAACGCCCGCTCTAAGTTACTGGTCTGTTTCTCTATCATTCCCTTTCAACTGTTCCTTGGTGCTTTCATAGGTCTTATTGGGTTGGCAATGGCTTTCTCCATTCTGTTGTTTCTCAGATTAAAGGTTTTCTATTAATTAAAGTGCATGTGTTTCCCCCAAAAAATATTTATTTGGCAGAGAGAACTCCTGTGATAGTGAGCCCAGCAGGGGTTGGATGCTGAGGAATGAGGATTTCTGAATGGGTGGGTCTCAGAAGAGACAATGCAATCAGGAAGGGAAGTTCAAGGAAAGTTATTAAGTATTGTGGGGATGAGTGATGACAGCACTGTTGGTTTTCTTCCCTGGCTCTTTCCCCCCTTCTTTTTTGCATCCACTGCTGCCCACTTGGCCAATGAGAAAAGCACTAATGATGCTGAAGAATCTTGCAGGTGTTCTTTTAGTACAGGTGTTGATGGAAAATTGGGCAGTTTCTTGAAAAAATGAGTGAGGGATTTTTTTAATCTTTGAGTGGTGATTTTTTTGACTCTCAAAATGTGCTGCCTAACAGCGTTTCATGCGCCTTCGGCGTTCAGTCATGCCAGCCACATGACCACAGAGACGTCTTCGGACAGTGCTGGCTCTTCGGCTTTGTAACGGAGATGAGCACCGTCCCCTAGAGCCGGAAATGACTAGCACGTTTGTGTGAGAGGAAACTACCTTTAATGTGCTACCTCAACCACTGGCATGATATAATGGCTATCTGGATTAAGATATGTTGGACTACAACTTCCAGAATTCTCAGACAGCTTGGTCAGCAGCATCCGATCCTTTCCTGGGGAAATCCAGGAAAGGATATTCAATTCTTGGTTTGGATTTGGACATTTTAATTTGGAAATTGGACAATATTTTAATTTCCCTAAATGAATCTTTAAGTGTTTTTTTTAATCATTGGCTTCATTTAATTCTCCTTCATCCTTCCACTTTTATTGGGTTATGTAGCCATTTTAAATAGTTTACATTGTTCAGTGGATCCTTTTAGCATTTAGCTAAAGTGGTGTATTAATTGGCCCATCTTGCTAAACTGTTTTACAAACATGCTGAACAGTTGCCAGCAATTCATTAAAACAAACAAAGCAGTTTACAGTTTGTATACAACAAAGATACATTTAGAGAATGTTTAAAAAAAAAAAAAAGAAACACATTCCCTAAAGTATGGCACTCCATAGAATTTAATTCCGATCCATAGAATTAATCTATGATGAAAGTCAACCTTTGAAAGGTGCTGCTTTAAAGACAGTGCCCATAGAAGAGACAACTCATACTTCAGGAACGCATAGCAATACAGGCAGTCCTCAACTTGCAACAGTTCCTTTTAGTGACCGTTCGAAGTTACAATGGCACTGAAAAAAGCAAGTTATGACCCTTTTTTCACATTTATGATCCCCCCCCATGGTCATGTGATCAAAATTCAGATGCTTGCAAAACAGACTCATTTTTATGACGGTTGCAGTGTTCTGGGTCATATGATCCCCTTTTACAACCTTCTGATAAGCGAAGTCAAAGGGGGAAGCCAGATTCACTTAACAACAGCGTTACTAATTTAACCTCTGCAGGGATTCACTTAACAAATGTGGCAAGGAAAGTGGTAAAATTGAGCTTAACCACTTTCTCACTTAGCAACAGAAATGTTGGTCTCAACTGTGGTTGTAAGTCGAGGATTACCTTTAATCTCTCATTAGTGCTACGAAAGCTAGGTATTTACAAGTTAGCATTCTCTTGCTTGTTATGCCACCTCAGACTGACAACCTCACTAATGCTGTCTTGTTGCTAATAAAAAAAAAAAACTTTAATCAGAGATTTAAATCCAAAGTGGACAAAATCTAAAAGCTCTGTAACCCTAAGGTTTAATGTAAGCTTATGCAGCTGGCAGAGCTGTGGCACATTGCTCCTTCTCTGACAGAATACCTACTTCCTAACTGCTAGCATTGTATTGTAGGGTATTTGAGGATATACTTGGAGCTTGGTTTGCTCCCCCCTCCCCCGAAAACATAAATGTTTGAGAAAGATTACTACTACACAAAGGACAGGGTAGAATTTGTACATAACTGAACAGCCAAAAGAGGAAATTTGTGAAAGTACTTTGGTTCAGCTAAGGTGTGCAGCCAGTATGTGATAGTGAAGGGAGAATGCCTATGGATTTATGAAGAATGTCAATTTTGGAAAAATGTAAATGTTTCATTTATTAATTAAATTTTTACATCACCCATCTTACCTAAGTGACTCTGAGTAGCTTTATAAAAACTCTGAAAAAGAGAGTCAATTCTGTAAATACGTGGATTTCTGAGTTTTGTGTATCCATATCATCTTATAGAAATGATAGAACATCAAAATAATAATTAATGATTGCTATTTATTCAATGGTATTTCATAATGAAGCCCCATTTGTGGAAAATGA